CTGTACAAATTCACTGGTGTTCTACTTGGTGATGACAGTGTTGTCAGATCTCAAATATGTCTATAATCTGAATAAAAATTACAAACAAATACTTTGTTTCCAAAATTGAAGTTGTTGTAACTTCGTTGTTAACAAATATTTTTTAATGAAAATTTGACAGTTTTGATTTATAACGACTACGAATCCAGTGGTGTAGTCAAATTTGAAAACAAAAATTGCCTAATAAACTTTTGCCGTTTTTGACAAACAAAAAAAACCATAGAGTGCCTTGGAAATGAAACTAAAATTGTGAAAGTTAGTGTCAAGATACAGTTTTTCATGCTTAATATTTCAATAAAAAAAAATTGAGATTGATTGAAAAATGCACATTCTACAAGGGTGGTTCCATTTTAAATGGGTCACACTGTATATATATGGTCCAGCCTTAGCCATAGTTCTAACAATTTGTTTGCGATTCATTAGTAACTGGTGGCACGCTGAGCTTGTGCCCCATAATAGAATCCCATACATTAGGTGGCAGTAAACCATACCGTAGTATACAGTTTTCAGCACTTCAATTGATACTATTTCTCTGAGATTTCTAAATAAAAATTGACTTCTGGACAACGATTTTTGCAATTCCTGAATGTGTTCTTTCCAGGTCCGGTTGGAATCTATGTGAAATCCTAGTATTTTGACCGATGAATCATTTGTCATATTTTTTGAGAAAGTTATTTCTTTAGTTTTATTTTTATTCAAATATAAAATATTTGCGTTGAAATAAGCTTCACCTCGTAAAAGTGTTTCACTTGACATGCTATCGATCTCATTTAAATTCCTGCTTCTGATTAAAAAAGTTGAGTCATCTGCGTACATAAATACATCTGCGCTGTCTAAGAAGATTGACAGATCATTCATATAGATTATAAACAACAGTGGCCAACAGTGTAGTATATGTATTCTTGTCTGTCCGTAATGAATGTTTCAGTGAGTTGAAGAGCTGGTCCACGTATCCCGCATTTATGGAGCTTTTCTAATAGGATACCATGTGAGAAACTGTCGATGGCTTTCGACAAGTCGCATAGGATTGCACGTGTATGTACTCCAACGTCTAGATTTTTTGAACTATCTCAGTAACAGTTTGTGAAGTTGATCTCAGCGATCGAAATCCATATTGATGGTCATCGACATGCTTTTCGTTTTCGAATAAGCTCGTTATTCTGTCTTTGACAATTACTTCAATCATTTTTGATATTATTGGGGCAATTGTTATACATCTATAATTATGACAGTTATTTATATCACCTTTTTTCATAATTGGGGTTGCTCTACACAGTTTCAGATGTGATGGAAATTCTACCTTCTCCAGTGCGAGTGGTGTGCTTAGGATTTCCGGTATGAGTTTGATTATTTTGGAGCTTATGATATATGCATCCGTAGTTGAACTATTTTCGAGTGTTTCATTACACATGTTATTTATTTATCATTTGTGGGACTCAAGAATACTGAATCTTTCACAGTTATTATAACGAGATCATCCCTAGATTCATCCTTGAGAGGTATTTGTTCAATAATGTTATCCATCATTGTGGAGCTGAATTCACAGAAATCATTTGCAGTAAGGCAGGTATCGTGTTTTACCTGATCTTCCAAACTATTTTTGCCGGGTTCTTACTGTTTGTGATAAAGTTATCATACATACTCCTTTTTGCTTTCTTCACATTTTCTGTAAAACTTTTTTGTTTGGTTTGATACGTACGTTTTATTTCGGAGTCTCCTGTGTTTATATATTGGCGTATATTGGCGTATATTCGTTCGTATATTCGTGTTTATATATTGGCGTATATTCGTCTTACATTCTCCCTCATAACTTTCAGTTCCTCAGTATACCACTTTGGTTTTAGAGCTTTTTGATTTATATTTTTCAAAGAAAAAGCTGTTTTTGTGGCATATGTGATATGTTCACATATAAATTCAGAGAGGATGTTTGGATCGTTAGTTGAATAGTAGCATGACCAATCTATTCTGTTTATACATTGTACAAATTCATCTCTACCCAATTCACTAATATGTCTAGTTTGTTTGGGCGCATTTTTACCCTGATTCGAACTATTTTTTATCTTGATTTCGATAAGTTGACCATATTGGTCAGAAATATCTTCTTTAACAATCCCAATTTTTTCATAGTTGAAGTTAGTGCATATGTTGTCAATACATGTGGAAGAATATCGAGTAACTCTCGTTGGTTCACATAAAAGAGTTTCAAAGTTATAAGAAAGGAGGGTATTATTGAGACTGTTTTTTTCTTCATCGTATGCAAGAAAGTTGACATTAAAATCTCCTAGCAGAATAATTTTTGGATATTTTCTAGTGAGGAATTCTATCAGATTATCCAGAGTATTTAAAAATATATCGAAGTTGCCACGGTTCGATCTATAGATTGTTACTATGGCAGTGTTTTGAATAAGTATAGCTGTGAACTCAGCGTCCAATTCATCACAGAAATGACTTACTTTGATTTCCATAGCGAATAGATTTTCTTGTATAGAAATTGCAACACCTCCATGTTCAAATTTCTATCTGCAGAAATAATTTACCAAGTTGTAATTACTTATTCCGGCGGACTGAAGCTGTCCACTTGTCAGCCATATTTCACTAAAGCATGTCACACAGTACGGATTGTCTGATAAGTCATCTAGTTTGTTACTAAGACACTGTACATTGAGATGAAAGATACTTAAGTTTGAGTTCCTTATTCTGGTGGTGTCACTTAGTTTGAGGTTTCTGTTGTCAGAAGTATCCTTATATTTTTTTGAATCTAGTCAGATTTGATAGGTAGATGGGATGCTTTCGGCTCTATTCATGAAAAAGTCCTTGATTGATGAACTTCTTCGTCATCTCGTTGATCATCCAGAAAGTGTTGTCCTATTTTGAAATTGAAGCGATTGTATAGTATCTTCCTGGGCCAAAAGTTTGGTTCGTATACCATTTCTTTGAGGTGGGGCTACACTCCAATCATAAATGACTGGTTATCCTTTCGAGTGTTTTGTGTTTTCAGTTTTTTGATGTACATATTATCTGTTTTTATATGTTCTTTGATATACATCTCTATGTTTTTCTCGTTAACTGTGTCAGGTACCCGTGATACAAACAGCCATATCATTTTGTTTTTCTTTTTCTCTTTTCTGCTCAGTTTGAATTTGCATTATTTTAGGTGCAATCTGATCAATTTTGAAAGTTGGATCACCCCTTAGTTGGGAATTTCCTGTTACGAGTTGTTCTTAGTTACCTCTGATTCATTGATAGGGTTTTATTTGTGATGCGTTTTGCAGCTGGGCTTTTTTTAGTGGGTCCTCTTCTTCGGCTATTTGGCTGGTGTTTTTTATTGGCCTTGATGGGATGTGGATATATTGTTCCAATTCATTTTCAAGGAATGCGATTTTGTCATTCATCAATGAGATGACTGTCTCTTTGTCACTTATGATTGTATCTTTATCCCGGATTATAGATCTTAGAAGTTTGTTTTCCTCTTTGAGAAATATTTCCTCCGTTATGATTGGATCACTGTGACTAATTCGATTGGCTTGATTTGGATTTTCTGCCGAGTGTTTGCAATCTCCTTTTTTTGTATCATTTGCTTGTCTGAGACAAGCAGGATGAAACATTTCTTCACATTTATTACACTTTACTTTGTTTACGACTTTTTTTTTGACAATGTTTACACGTATATTCACTATTTTCTTTGGAGTGAAGTGACAGTGAACTTGTACCTGTCGCCATAGTATTTTAATATGAAAGTCGGCATTTGGAGTCAATCACAACAGAAACAACAACCCTAGGTGTATGATCATTGTTGAAGGTGAGCCTGAATTAAGATAGATCCATCCAAAGAATTGAATATTTTTTAGTTTAGATTATATGAAATCAGTAGATCAATCATTCTATTTTAGGATAATATTTACCTTCATTCCGCTAACAAACTGTAAAGTGATCGGATTATCAGCGACAATGTCCGTACTTCTCCAATCACCATAATCTCCTCTGATATTGAAGCATGCAATTTTTATGTCGCTCATCAACCCGAAAAACAGAACTCCATCCTTATTGATAGCTTCGGCAGCACTTTGGGTCCTTCTATCTAGACGGTAAGTCTGAAACAAAAGATGTTATAATTTTATCACAATGTGTGTATTTTTTTAAAAGACAAAAACACAAGCACTACAGAAAAATCCTTAAGGCGCTCTTATAGCGCTGCCTGTGCAAAAATAGTGATTCACATTGGATTTGAATTGCTGGAGATTGAATCCATTTGATAAAACGTTCTCAGGAAGTTTATTCCACATAAATGCAGTTCTCCAAATGAAAGAATTCTTGAACAATGAAGTTCGTGGTGTGTGATAACTGTTATCACCCGAAGACTATTGTGGATACTAACAATTTGTAATACCTCTAAGGGATTGAGGTGTACACGCAGAGCTGATTCCCATGCTGTTATACCACATCTCAAATAGCTCCCCACTAGGGAACTATATAATTGTTTAAGTTCTTTGTGAGGTAAGTAATTTTTCTAGGAACGGAAGTTGTGAAAAATTATTTGTATTTGGTTAGGCGTTAGGAATCACACGTTAAAAGCCAGGACCTCGTAAGTCCTTAGCTCGCACAAGTTTTTCAACTTCTGAAAGTTGTCGTTCGTATGGGGGCGACAGCTCATCAACGGGAAAACAGATTTTGAACAGATTTTAAACAGATTTGAATAGGTTATAAATGAGTTTATCCTTTTCTTTAGCAATTTTTCGAAGATTTTTGACAAATGGGTGATAAGCGAGATTGGTCTATAGTTAGTGATTTCAGTTTTATCTCCTTTTTTATGGATAGGAGTCACTACTGCAGTTTTGACTGTGTCGGGCCACACACCAAGTGATATACAATTATTAATAATAAAAACTAAAAGATCTAGTATATAATGGGATATTGATTTCAGCAGTTCTGCTTTAATTTCGTCTTTTCCTACCGCCTTTTTTTTAAGATTGCAGATTAAAGAGTTTACTTCAATTTTGTCAGTTAGACTTGAAACAGAAGTGTTTGGTAAAATGTTTCTTCTACACCCGTATTCTAACAATACACTTATATGACCATAATCCGTTTCATAATGATATCCATTATGATACAGATTTATCATAACGATACAGATTATCAACCAATAGAAACCCATAATTTTTCAATCACGAATCCTGTTCCTTTGTTTGTCCTAGATTCTAACCTGAGTAACTAATTGCTTCATTTGTCAAAATCAGTTTTCATATTACCTACCTATATTATCAAAATGTCTGCAAACAGCGATATAAAGGAATACCATCGACTCCAATATTTTTAAAAGATCAGATTAATTACAGTTGTTATATTCAATATAAATATAATTGGAATCTTTATAGTTTTCATATATCCATGATAATACCATTAAGTTTGTGTTTTTTTTTAAAAATATTAATTACTGTAAATGTGTTCAATACAAATATAATATTTATAGTTTTTCATTATTTATCGGGTTTAGAAAAAATAGCGTATGCAACTCTCATGTAATGGTTATTAATACACTCGCATATACCATACAAAACTCGCCTTCGGCTCGTTTCGTATCCCGGTTAATGCTCGTGTCTTAATAACCATAATTACATGATCGTTGCATAATATACTATTGATTAAAAACGAGGTTATTATTTTTGACTATTTTATTTGCCAATTTTTTTCCAATACATACGAAATTATCGTTCATTGGCTATGTCTCTGTTATTTGCTGGTAGTACTCCCTGATCATTTCTTATTGGTGCAATTGTGGTTGATTTAGGTTTAGTGCCGGTGATTTCTTTCACAATATTCAATAGTTGTTTGGTATCTTGTTTTTTGTATTCCATTTTATGATTAAATGATAAGAGAGTGACAAATCTCCAACCTTTCTTCGATGTTCCAGATTATCAAGGTTGCAAGTGATGGAATCCAAACGGAATGACAAGACAAGTGTGCTGTCGCCAGCCAAGAAATATATTGGATTCTTTTTTCCAATAAGTCGTTGATATACAATAAAAAGGGCATTGAAGGCAATACGGATCCCTGGGAAACACCAGCGTTGATGGTGAAAGTATTCGACGAGGTTGAAAGCTTTCTCTTGTAGAATTAGTTTGATGGAATTGTTCATTATACAACCCATGAACGCAAATACATTCAATTTCAATATTGCTCTTTCGAATTTGAAAATTTGATGTTTGATATATGTTGAAATTGGCTGATACTTGATTAAAATTCATAATGTTTTCAAGTAACACGTTATTGTGAGATTTTCACTGAACAGTTTTATAAAAACGCAACACG